AGAAAGAAAGAAAGAAAGAAAGAAAGAAAGAAAGAAAGAAAGAAAGATAGAGAGTCGTTTGTGAGTCGTTTGGACAGAAGCGTCTGATAACTATATAGTATAATATAAATAATAATATAAATGTCTACCGCTGTTGCAGGAGACGGTGACTTTCACACTTCTTTTGTGCAGAATCTTTTCAAGCAGCGACTCGCTGCTGTCCTCCCAGTTTTCGGGGTCCCCCCGGTTCTCGCCGTTCTCCCGGTTCTCGCCATTCTCTCGGTTCTCGCCTTCCTCCTGGTTCCCAGGGTCTTTCCGGCTCTCGGGGTCCTTCCGGTTCTCGCCTTCCTCCCGATTTTCAGGGTCCCCCTGGTTCTCGGGCTCCTCCCTGTCCTCGCCGTCCTCCCTGTCTTCGCCATCCCCCCAGTCCTCGGGGTCCCCCCAGTCCTCGCCGTCCTCCGAGTTCTCGCTGTCCCCTTGGTTCTCATGGTCCTCCCCGTCCTCGCCATCTCCCCGGTTCTCGCCGTCCTCCCAGTTCTCGCTGTCTCCCTGGTTCTCAGGGTCCTCGCCATCTTCCCGGTTCTCGGGCTCCTCCCTGTCCTCGCCGTCCCCCCAGTTCTCGCCATCCCCCAGGATCTCGGGGCCCTCCCTCTGCTGCAGGGCCTCGATGGTCATGCTGGAGATGTGGGCGGGACCGTTCAGGACGCACAGGAACGCCAGGGCGCCTTTGACCAGGGCGGCGTGGACGGGCGGGCTCTGGAACCTGCGCAGGCTTTGTGCGGCGGATGCCACCGTGCTCTGCATTTGCTGGAACAGGGCCTGCACGTCCTGGATGAAGTCCAGCGTGGGCGGGCTGGGGACCGCCTGCGGTGCGTTTGGGGACCAGGCTTTCGCGCACAGACGCAGAAAGGCCTCCGCCTCCCGCGTGGCCTCCTCGCCGGCGCCCTCGTGCAGAGCCCTGGCGTACGCGATCCCAGCCAGCCGCCTCACAGACGCCACCATGCTTGCCAGGAGCCTCCTGGTGGTCTTCTCCTCTCCCAGGGCGCCCGCAAGCGCCCCGACGGCTGCGGCCACGGCGTCGAAGTTCTGGGGCTTTAAAGCCTCTTGGAAGCTGGGGATGGACGCTTCCCGCAGCCTCAGCAGGACGCGGCCCATCTCCCGCAGCTTCTGATTGGCCCGGCTCCAGTCCCCCCGCCCGCCCTCGTTCACAAGGTGCAGGTACTGAGCCAGCTGGACCAGGAAGGGGTCCCTCAGCACCGCGCGGCCCACCTCGTCTCTCTTCAGCTTCCTCAGCATCCTCCTGACTCCCGACGACCTGTGCTGGGGGTCCATGAACCCCGCCGCCATCAAGCTCAGGATCTGGGCTTTGTAGCCCGGGGGGGTGTCACCGGGCCTGTAGGGGCACCGCTGGCTGTGGGCCGCCAGCTTCTTTCGGGCGTAGACGTTTTTACAGTAGACGCAGATGGCAGACGTCTTAAGGGATTGGCCCTCTGCAGACTTCCTGGACTTTAGGCGGCCTCGGTGGGCCCGCATCACCTCCTGGTTGTGCTTGTGGTTCCCTCTGGTTCGCAGCTCCTCCAGAGCTTTCTTCCGGTCCCGGCTGCCCCGCTGCAGCTTGAAGGCGGCGGCCACGTCCGGCTCTACCCGCCGGTGGGTGAACAGGTGGCGGGATATTTTGGTCTGCGGCTTTCCGCACACAAAGCAGTAGTTCCTTTTAGAGCAGGGGGGGACCCGGACAGGGGCCTCCGAGCCAGAGGCCTCGGAGGCGGAGGCGTCCGAGCTGGAGGCGTCCTCCTGCTGCTCCGACCCGCTGCCGGGCTCCTCATCATAGATGAGCTCATCGACGGCCAGATCGGAACAAGTCGTGTCCTCCACCTAAATGAAGGAGATCAGATTAGGCGCCATGCTTTGTTGACCCTTCCATCCCTTTGAAAGCCTTCAAAAGGGTCCTACAGCTTTATAATTCGACCTGAATTTTTCTTTCCTACAAGGCAAAAACTGGACAAAAACTCGGCTGTGTCCAGGGTTTCTTTCTTGGGGGGGCCGGGTCGGGGCTCAGGCTATTGAGGGGGTCCCAAATGAGTATATCTCAGTTTGTCAGTTGGAATCATCTCTTTGCTTAAGGGCAACATTTAAAATATGATTATGACTTAAACTTACAGTTTCATCCAGTGGAGAAGATGTAACAGCATTTAAGTCCATATTGGAGACATTTGCATCCTCACTGGTCTCCTGTGAAAGCATCACATATGATAAGAGTCACAAAAACCCTTTGAAATATCTGTGTTTTTATTTTTTCATGAGGACACATAATCAGTTTGTCCTCTGAGAGAGTGAGGAGGAAAGACATCAGTATGATCTTAGAGGAGCAACTGTTGCTGCCCATCAATTTAGGCAGGGTCCCAAGGCCATTTCCAAACTACTTTAGACCTTCTGAGAGCACAATCCTAAGCTGAAAGCCTCCATGAGCTAAAGCCACCATGGAAAGAAAACCAGCAGGAACCAGTGTCTCACTGTTGTGCTAACTAAGGAGAACTTCCTGTTCAAATAAAGACAATAAACAAAGCAAACCTTTGTGCGCCACGGGTACGAGGCGGCCCCGTAGTTGAAGGTTATTTCCTCTCCGGGGGATATTTTCCTCTTTGCAAACAGGCACAGACGTGGTTTCCCATCGTAGAGGATCTTCATGAGTCTGCAGTTGGGGTTCAGGTGGTCGTCGTTCACAAGCCTCCCGAGGCTCCCGTCTTCTGCCGAAGCATCGACGCTACCAGAGAAAGAGAAACGAAAACAGACGACGGTGGAGGAGAGTCGAAGCGGCTCATTCAAACTGTTGCCCCTAGGCTGGTTTGTGGATGGTTTATCTTTTGAAACTCACCTCCAGTTTGTCCGACTCAACGAGAAGTCAAAGACAAAACCATTCAGAGTGTCTCTCTTCCTTTGGGGGTCTTCATGTCGAGAGATCTCTCCCCGGTACTCGACGACAAAGCTGGGAGGTTCGATGGACTCGTTGGTGAACACTCCTCTTCCTGGAGAAACAGACATTGGGGGTCATCTCAGAAAAACTGCTCCATCGTTTGTTCCCTCAGGATTCGACGGCTGGAGTTCTTTAATATTGTTCTGACCCCGAAAACTCTCTAAAAAAGCTGCCGGCTGATCCAAAATCTGCTGAGAACCAGCAGCAGCCTTCAGGTATTGATCCTGAAACGGCTCGATAATCTACCAAAAGCTTTCACAAACCTTTGAAGGAGTCGATAAACTTCTCCTGGAGGAACCCTTTGTCTCTTTGTGCCTTAATGTGCTCCAGTGCATCCTGCACCGGAGTCAGCGGCCCGTCCAGGGGTTCTTCTTCTTCTGCAAAGAGTTCAAAAGCCAGAAAAATCACAACAGGCACCATTCAATATTTACACATAATCCTCAAAGTCTACCGGCTTGTCTTACAAACATACCGCTCATTTGAGACAAAATATCCGAGTCCTCGCTGTCCTCCTCAGCATTTCCGGAGCTGTTCTGCTCATCAGGCTCCAGTTTATCTTGAAAAAAATAAATAAATAAATATTTATTGATTTCATAAACAAATAGACTGCTGTGCCCTGAGGAGGACTCTTACCCTCGAGCTCTAGCTCCTCCAGGGAGTTTCCTTCCAATCTTTCCAGGGAACCTTTCTCCATCGCCAGAAGAAGCTTTGAGATTTTGGCGAGCTCGGCGGCGGCCTCGGGGGACTGGTAGTATTCCCGATCGGCCCGGACGTCGCGGCCCAGCAGCTTGGCGAGCTGACCGAGCTCGTCGTCCTCCAGGTGGAGGATCTGGAACATCCTGGCTGCGTGTTTGTGGAAGCGAGCCGACGTGAGGCGCTCCGGGTCGCCGGCCTGGCAGCTCCTGGAGTAAGAGCGGACGCAGTCCTCTCCCAGGAAGTGGCTGGGTGGGGAGGAGTCGGGCTTGGCGAACAGGAAGGGGTTTCCCTCCTGCACGCCGCACGCCGCTCTCTTCCCGATGAGCAGCGTCAGCGCGGCGACCAGCTGCGAGGTCAGCAGGACGCTCTGCTGGCCCTCCGTGTTGATCCGGATGAAGTGCCTGGACAGCACCTGGGTGGAGTCGCCCCTCTCCTGGAAGCACTTCAGGGTCATCTTGGAAACCTCTGGAGAACCTTTGCTCAAAACGTAAGCCTGCGCCAGCGTGGCGGTGCAGAGGGAGCTGTACGGCTCGGGGCCCTCTCTCGCCTCCAGCCCCTCCACGGCCGCCGCCGAGCACCTCTCCAGGAAGGTGTAGAGCGTCTGCACATCCCTGGTGAAGGGGATGGTGGACGGGCTGCCCACCCTCTGCTTGGCCCCGGCAGGCTGCCGTCCGGCCCACTCTTTCTCGCACAGCTCCACAAAGGCGCTGGCGTCTCTGCTGGCCGCCTTCTCCGGGTCCTCGTCCGTGCCGAGGACGATGCTGGCCAGCTTCTTGAGGCACTTTCCGAACCTCAAAGCGAGCTTTGGCCGGGCGTAGCGGCGGGTTATGTAATTGAATCCCGCCAGGTCCCGGACGGTGGTGGCCACTTTGCTGAAGTTTTTCGGTTGGATGGCGTCCGTAAAGCTTATTATCGTCTTTTTGTGCAGCTCTGACAAGAGCCTGCCCATTTCCCTCAGCGTCTTTGGGATGAACTTGACTTTGCAGGGGTCATTTCCATATTTCTCACACAGATTATTTGCAAGCTGGATCAGAAGGAAGTCATTCTGAACCACTAGAGTGAATTTATCTTTCCTCATGGATGCGAGCACTTTCCTCACATCGTGGGGAATTTGGTCCGTGAACTCCGACTGCTCGACAGAAATCTCTCCCAAGATTTCTGCCCTTTCGCACTGGGCAGACTCCGATATCTTCTTGGCACATTTGGCTACATGCCTCCGCATATCCACGTGTTTGTACATGCCTTTGCAGTACTGGCAGGGCGTGTATCGTCTCTCTGATCTTTCTGAGCCCACCGAGAGCCTTCGCACCTTCAGCGCCCCGTTGTTGCTCTTCAGCACCTCCTGGTTGTGCTGGAGGTTGCCTTTGTTTCGCAGTCTGTCAAGCGCCCGCTTGCGTTCAACTGAGCTTTTGGGTAGGGAGAAGGCCTCTGCGATGTCCGGCTCTTGGTCCATGTGCCTAAAAATATGACGAGCGAACTTCGATGCCACTCCTTTCCCGCAGACATAACAGTAATTTCTGTTGGTGAAAGATGGGTCTTCGTCCTTGCCGGGTTTGTACTCTTTATCTGTCTCGTGCTCATCAGGAGACTTTTCCACGGGGAAGCTCAACCGAGAGCTGATCCGAGGAGACCGACGACTCGGCCTGGGTTCTTCATTTTCATCATCAGAGCTGGACTTCTCACAGTAGGAGGTTACCACGGCTTTGGCCTGGAAACATAAACTTTCCATCAGCAGAAAAAAACATAAAGGTGAATCTTGTTTCCTCGTCTAAAATTTGACCTTTGCACTGGAGGAGATGGTCTTTGGACCTGCAGACCTCCAAAAAAATGACCCATTTGAACCTTTTCACTCTGGATAGAACTATACTCGGTCACTCACTCATCTTCAGATGTGGGGACAATACCTGGGTCAAGATCCAAATTCAAGAATTGGAGGCCTTTAAAGGTGAAAAGTCATATAAAGTTCAAAGGGGAGGATGGAGAGGACCTCAAGCTCCTTTTTTTTGGACAGAAAGCTTAGAGGTTTAACTGAGGAAGCCTTTAGGATGAGAGGGAAAAAAGGCTTCAAGACCCAAGAGGAAGTTTAGCTGCTTTGACTCAGGATTATTGTGACCTGAATGGCTGAGACTGAGTTTAACTAACAGATTAACAATAACAACCATTATCCAAAAGTGACCGGAAGAAACTATTCTGACTCGGTGAAGCCCTTATCTTCCAGCATACATACCCTCCTGGTCCTCGGGTTTGATGAGGAAGGACTGCAATCTGCTTCTGAGACACTTGATGCACAGATGGGTTCCTGTCGAGGTATAAGGGGACAAACATTTTCAGATCAATATAAACACTTTTTACTTTATTGCCAAGCAAACAAATCAATGTGATTATAAAGTATCTGTGCAAAGAAAAAAATGTGTTTTGTTGTTTATGTTCTTTTTGCTTTTCTCTGAATTGGGCAAGAAAAAGGAAACTACTCAAATAGCAAAAAGAGGATTTTTTGTTGAGGATCCAGTGTGACCAACCAATCAAGTGAGCATGATTTAACTTTTTGAAAACTAAAACAATAAGAGAATGTACTTCAAATACTTTTAGAATTCAAACTAGAAAGTATTGAACCCTGATAAAAGGGGAACCTTTGGAGCAGCTATTGCCTTAGGTTGGGCCTGGTTGTTGCTTCAAACGTACCTCAGAGCGCCATGAGTAACAAGAGTCTCCATAGTTGAACGTTATCTCTCTGCCTGGACGAATTTCCTTGATTGCAAACAGGCACAAATGTGGCCTCCCGTTACAAACGATCTTCCTCATCTCACAGTTTGGATTCCAGTGGTTATCGTTCACAAGCCGGCCAAGTGACCAATCCTCTTTGGAAGCATCGATGCTGCAAGGGCAATGTTTTGCAGAGTAAATACACGTCACATGCATTTCACAAGGTGGCGCTGAACTGAACATACTTTACAGGAAAAGCCAAAAAAGAGCTGAAAACGTACCACCATTCAGCTCCATTCCATGAAAACTCATACAAGAAGCCATTGAGGGTGTCTCCGTGTCTCTTCTCAGTCTGTGTTTCCCGTAAAGAGATGTTCCCCCGATATTCCACGACAAAAGTGGATGGCTTAATAGTTCTCTGGGTGAACACACCTCTCCCTGGATAAGACATAAAAGCTTATTTTGTCAACTTCAACGCAAGTGATTATATTAATAACAATTTTACATCTTCAACAGAAATCCATCATCTATGTCCTCTGATTTATAGTTATAGTCGTAATTTCTGCCTGAATAAAGACCCAGAAAAAAGCTGGTAAACAAAAAAAAAGCCAGTAACAACAGGAAAGACAAAAACAAAGAAGAGAAGACATCTGGATGTGATTTTGTGTGGACATCAACTTAATCTTTTTTCAATAGGATTATTTGTCCTATCATCAAAGTTTTTTTTAACTCATTGCAAAGTGGGATTTGGGAGATACAAAGACTGAACACACAAAAGTTTCACCCAAAGCAAGTGTGTGGGAACAGTTGGAATCTCTGTGGGACTTAACAACAACAGAAACTGTCAGAAAGGAGAGCAGAACAACCAGAGGAAGAATGAAAGCTACTATCAAGAATAAAGGAGGCAGAACACAGCAAAAAGTATTTCTGGGGGGAAAAAAAGGTGTCTGATACGTTTGCTAAGCTCTATAGGGAAACCAAATCCAGACAACCCACCTATGTAGCTGTCGATGAAATGCTGCTCCAGGAATGGTTTGTCTCTGCAAGCAACAATATGCTCCAGAGCATCTTCAGCTGGAGTCAGTTGCCTATTCCGCTTTTCCATGACGGCTGGAAACTTTTCAAAAGCTACGGGATAATTATGGATAGTTTAGTCATTTAGCATTAGCTAAGCACACTGACTTTATTTCATATGTTTTCAGCCAAATGTCTAGTCTTACATACCATCTTTAAATTCAAGGGCTAAAAAAATGATTTAACACTTTGGTTCTTAAGCCTTAGAATAACGTTAAACTATTGTGAACAACTAAATACGACACTAGTATAAAATATCAAGAAATTCAAAAAAATTTAATTTCATTTATTTAGGGCAAAATCACAACAACAGTTATCTCATTGCACTTTAGTAGTCTGAGAATAACCCAGTACCACAAAATAAAACAACTAAAACAAATGAATGGTTTAATCATAACCACAGTCTGTCCAAAAGCACAACACTGTCTATGAAAAGATTCTGGCTTTTTTTCTTTCAATTTTGGCTAAATTTTCTTTCAGCAAATAATATTAGGCTGTAATATTTATTTTTTGGGTTGGTAATTTGAGATTGCATCTACTTCAGATTAAGACCTGGTGATAACCAGTAAATATTTTATAATGTACTTATAGCAAAAACAAATTAAGAGATGCTGGAATTTATTTTGCAAGAATGTAAACACATGATAAGTATCTAGCAAAAATACTGGCCAAATAAACATATTAATAGACAAACAGATATTAAATAACATGGTAGAAGGTTAGAACATATCAGTCTAAAAAACTGAAGTATAGTCAAGAGAGGCTTGGGTAAAATATGATGACTCAATACCATAACATTCTACAGCTTTCGGATAACATTTATAAATACGACAAAAGCTCCATCTACCTGCCTAATTTGACTGTTCTACAAAAGGCTGCTGAACAAGTACTTATATTGAGGTAAAGCTGTAATAATATCATTTTCTTTTGCAGTGGTGCAGGCATGACTGGTTAGCATGCTAATCCTAACTAACAGAAAGTAAACAAACAAGTGCTCAGTTTGGCTTGTAGTTTCTGCATAATGATTAAATAAAGTGTAAACATAATTTCTGCAATAAAAACATTTACCTGGTCGTCAATATCCACAAGTAAGAGGCACGAAAATCATCCAATTCAGGCGAGGATAACATAGTTTCAGCTGTGTTTGGAACGCCATTCGGCTATCGCGAGAGGTCCCGGGGACTCGGACCAATCAGCGGCCTTGACGTAATGAAATCACTTCCTGAATGAAGAGCGGCGTCCGATTCGCCCGCGAGGAGCACATAGCGAAAACGGGTCGAAGTGAGTTATGAGGACCTTGGCGGGACAATCAAGACAAATGGCCCCACGTCTCCCTCAAAAATGTTCTAAATGAAGCGACAATGATAAAAAGTGATTTTTAATGTTTATTCAAAAAGAACATATAAAACAAAATGGACATCCTTGGTAGCTGTTCTCCAAAAACAGGAAGGTTAAAGTGTACATGGACAGCATTTATTCAGGGTTCAAGTCACAAAATGTGAATGTATGCAAGCCCAAGACAGACTCCAAATAAAACCGTTTTTTAAACATTTATATAGCTTTTTTAACCGAGTTATCTCACTGATAAAACCCACTTTTTCATAAGATCCTTTAACTCCCTGTGCACTTTATTATCCCTCCACCGGACAAATAGATGCAATCAGAACTTTTACAAAAAATAAAACAAATAGAAACTAATTCCAAGTGAATATGTTACATTTATCAAGGTTTAAGTGTTTTCATTGTTTATCAATGTTTAAACAAATTTTCAGATTCTTGAAAGGACCTGTGTCAAACTGGGTGCAGTTAGCAGGCCTGTGCAGAGTTTAATATTTGTAAGACATCCATTTGTTCAGAATCAGCTGAGCTGAAGCAGGAATGCCTCTGAAACCTGCACCGAGGAGATGAGACTGACACCCCTGCTCTAGGGCTGTGAAAGCAAACCCTAACATGATCCCCGTCCTGTGCAAAAGTACTGCGTTTTGGAAAATGGAATGAATATTTGCCACTAAATATTACGTTTAATGGCCTACATCCCCTTCCAGAGATGCCTTCAGTTTGCCTTTTGAAGCAAAATGTCTCCAGAAACTAATTTCAACCATAACAGCTAACCCACTCGAGACTGTGGAACAAAATCCTTTTGAGGAAGAGGATTGCTCTAAGTTTGCTATGCACTGAAAGGTGAGGAATGACCCATGGGGGGGGGGACAAAAGTTTCAGAGAAGTCACCACTAAACAGTTTTGTTTAGTGTCCTTCTGAGCAGCAGTTACCAGCTGGGGCCGAGCCGACTCTGCAATCTGGTGCGACTCGTGGCCATTGAGTGGTTTGAGAAGTGGGACTTTCACTGGCGTCCAGCACAACGCTGGGTCAGACTTTTAACGATTGCTTCAGTTTTTTCACATTTACACAACTGGTGTCGACACACATAAAAAAAGGTCACTTTAGGAATCACTCTGCATCTCCGTCGTCATCTTCTTTGTTTCTAAACGGGGGGTCCTGGGATGGCCCCCCCTGGCCGCCCTTCTTGGTCCTGAGGTGCAGCTCTCTGATGGTGTGGATGCGGTTGAGCATGGCCTCCATGGTGACGCTGTCCAGGGGGCTGGAGGAGAACCACAGCGGGCTGTTGGGGACGCAGCAGCGCTCGGGGTTCAGGTAGAACAAGTCGGTGCGCTGCTTCACCGACTCCGAGCTGAAAGGAAACCAAAACAAAATCCATGTGTCTTTTCCAGCAGGAGACGCCGAACCTCTGGGCTTCACTCACCACTTGGAGAGGTAGAACTCATAGAGCCTGACGGGACAGCGGAGACGGTTCTCTGCGTTCTCCATCATTTCCGGGATGTCTCCTTTACTCTCCTCCTCTTTGCGCCTTTTAGCTGGAACGCCGTCCAGATCTGAAAAGGAGCAAAAAAATAAATAAACCTGTCACAATAAATCCATATTTCCTGGTATTGTTTGCTAAAAGTGTTCATTTTCTTCGTGGTCGTAGGTTCTTCCTCTGTCTCTTCATTGGGCCTTTTCCCCTTCGAAAATAAACTTTCCAAAGAGTTTTTTACTAATTTTATTAGCTTGTGGGTTAAACTTTTTGGCACTCAAGAGACCGAGATGTAACCGAGAGAATGTGGTCATTTTTCAATATAAAAGATTATTCAGACTCTGAGAATAAATACAACGGGAACAATTAATTATTACTTGGGCGGCCGGCGGCCTGGTGCCAGTTGATCCACGGCCCGTTACCGGTCCGTAGGCCGGGGGTAGGGGACCACTGCTTTAAAGGACACATAAGGTTTCATAATGTTCTGGTACCTGACTCGGCCTGGGTGATGGGCAGGGGGGGGTAGAAGCGCAGGAAGGTGGTCTTGGTGTTGTCGGGGTTGGTTTTGGTGCAGCGCATGACGTGGGCAAACGACAGCTGGCGGTGCTGCTCCACGGTGCTGAAGCCGAAGTGCTTACAGCAGAAGAAGAGCAGCGTGTTGAGCAGGACGATGGGCGAGTAGGCGCCCAGCTGCTTGCACTCCCACAGGAAGTCCTCCTCCACCCGGGAGTGGACGTAACCTGCAGGGGAGGGGTTCCGAATGAGGACCAACCAGTCTGTTTGGGTAGAAAAGAAGCTGAAGCCGAATGGGATCGAGGGGACTCACCGCTGGCCGTGACTGTGGGCTTGAATCCCTTCAGCATGTTGGTGAACTCTGTGGAGAACTTGCTGTAGAAGCGATCCATGAAGATGTTCTCCATGCGACCGTTCTCGAATAGATACTGCAGACAAAGAGAGACGGCGGCGCAGATTCTCAGTGATCCAGGTCACACAAACCCTGAAGGCAGCTGGACTCCCCGAGTCTGAGAGTCTGTGAAGTGACTCTAGCCATTAGGGCTGTCATTTCTAATTGTCATGTCATTTGGGCACAAACTCAGCTGAATCTGCAGCAGTTTAAGTCTCCCAGGTGGAAAAAAAAGATCAGTGTGTCTTTGATCTCTGGGGTTGAGTCCCACTCCTTCCTGCATTTTCACTGCACAGTTTAGACTAAGTGAAAAAGCGAATGATGCTGCGAGTCAAAAGTTTCCAATAACAACAAAAAGTCGCTAGATTTGTCGCTAGTCGCTTTTTTTCCCAGGAAATTAGGGGTCTGAAAACTCACTAAATATAGCAAAAAAGTAATTAAGCTGGCAAAATTAACAAGCAAAGTTTCCAATAACACAACAAAAAGTCACTAGTTTTGTCGCTAGTCGCTTTTATTGGAAAAATGGCCACTAAAATGGCCCGAAAACTCGCTATATATACCAACAAAGTCGCTAAAGTAGAAACAGGGAGCACAAATGAACAACCAAAGTCTCCAATAACACAACAGAAAGTTGCTAGATTTTTCGCTAGTGGCTTTTATTAAAATGAGCTGCTTAAGGGGCCTGAAAACCCCCTAAATATAGCAACAAAGTCGCTAAGGAAGCCACACAAATCTGTTCAGGGACAACCAAAGCCTTCTGTTCCATGTTTGTGAAGCAGAGGTTCAGCTGAGAAACATCATGGAGACTAACAGACATAAACCTGCACATCGTCTGCATGTGTGGCTGCAGCGGGACGTGTGCGCCTTGCCTGCTGGAGGCCGAGGCAGAGGTAGAAGAGGCTGTCGGGGGCGTAGGGCTCGCCGTTCGGCCGCTTGGCCTCGGCCACGAAGCAGCACAGGCCGTAGCTGAGCTCGGCGGTGGAGCAGCGGAGGATGTTCTCCTTCAGCTCCAGAGGACGAGCTGGAGTCCAGACACAAGCACAGAAACAGGGCTAAGCACACTCATGCACCAATCACCATCATTTCACACCCTAACAGTGTCTTCTAACTTCTTTGTTTTTGGTCTAAAACGTTTTTATTCACAGATTTTTACAGACGTCCACTAAAGTGGACAGCAAAATGTCTTCCTATTGACATAACGTTTGTTGCTATGTGATCATATTTAGACGTTTAACCTGAAGCAGAAACAGAACTCTGCATGCAGCTCTCATCCTGTTCTGATATCAGTGCCATCTCCTCCGTTTTCTCTAAACCCTTTGATTTATTTCAGTCTATCTCGGCTCCATTTTAACATGATATTATTGTGGACATTTTTTATTTGTATTGCATGATGCACCAGTTTCCTTTTCTTTGGCTCATGCACATTTAAAACATAAAAACTGACATATTCATGGTTAACAACACTTATTATTATTACCATTATTATTATTACTATTATTCATTTGTAAAATATTTAATAATGGAATTATTTACTTATTTTTATATTTTTCTAATGATTCTCCCATTTAATATTTTACATTTACTTATCTGTACGACACTTTTGTTACCTATATTTACAAAAGAGATGGATGTATTTATGATATTCTGTCTGCTTCACAATAAAAAATATTTTAAACGAAAAAACAACATATACACAAGATAAAAAAGACCCACTATGCACGGAGGGACGGGTTAAAGGTCTAAGCCCCCAGGCGCCAGTCGCTAGCCACCGGGCGCCGCCGGGTGGTTTGGACTTACAGCCGAAGCGCGGCTGCTCCACGCCGGGCCGGCTTTTCCTCCACTGGACCCAGCGCCGCCACGCCTCCACGCCGTACTCGCTCTTCAGTTTGTGGATCTCCTGCGCCGGCGCCTCCTTCTGCGAGGCGTCCTGGGGCGCCGCGGCGACGGCCTTCGGCGAGCGCTGCGGCTTCCGACCCTGAGGCGCAAAGAGAGGATGCTGCGTCACCTCCTGAGCTGGAGCGGTGGGCAGTGTTTTATTTTTATTTTTATGTATATATCTATCTATATCATATAAGGAATTTTGTATATATATATATATATGTATATATATATGTACAGACATGTATATATGTATATGCCGCTGTTTTATTTATGGAGCCAATAACAAAAATAATTTCCCTCTGGGATTATTAAAGTATTTCTGATTCTGATTCTGAACCGGGCAGAACCGGGCCGGACAGTCACCCGCTTGTCTCTGGCCTTCCTGTGAGCCAGACGGCGCCGGGGGGCCTCGGGCCGAGGACTCGGGGGCCGGGCGGCCCGCTCCCTCTGCTGGGACATCCTCTCCAGGGTCTCTGGCATTCGCAAAACAATAAACATCACAAGTTGAACCCGAAAACTCAACTCAAAGCTCGGAGGTTCGGAAGACATAAAAAAAGGGGAAGGATGCTGCAAATGGGGCAAATTATTAGGAAGTCCAAAATTTATCAGCTAAAATACATTTTTAAAAAATGAAAGGATGCTGCAAAATATTGGGAAGGCACAAAT